CGCGACGCTCTACCGAATAAGCCACGGACGCGACGCTGATATCGGTGTCAGCAACGCGCCTTATACCCCCTCCCCCTTCGCTCGCTCCTCTGCTCTCCTCGCTCGCTGCAGCTGCGCGCGCACCCCTCTCTCTCGCGCGCCCGCCTTCTCTCTCAGTCTCCCGTCGAGAGCGGGTCGTGAGGGGGAGTAAAGTTAAAATCCGTTGGCATTCGCCAGTGAGTTAACGTAAACTCCCCCGTGTGATCAAATTGCGATTCCCAGGAACCATTACACCATAAAGGCACCATAGTGTGATTAATAAATATAATAGTGCGAATTATTAAATACCCCTCATAGCATCACCCCGTGTATTCGCACCTAACCATGCTCACCCTCGGGGAAATGCTTGGGAGTTTTTTTTTTATCTTCGTTTCATGGCAATAGATTCACGCGTTCGCCTCAAATCGGTTCTTTATTCTATGTTTGCCTTTCACGCTCAGGTTAGAGCAGCCAACGGCTGAAAAACCGACCATGGTTTATCAAGACGCAGGTAAACGGGCGACCGCGCGCGCGAATCCCGAATAATCTGAGGCTTGCGGCGAAATGGTTCGCCGTCATTATACTCTTCTCGAACCAAAAGCCGGTAGCAGACGGTGCATCCCACAATTCCTCGCTCTTTTACTGGTCACCTATTGCAGCCCAGCAGACGGCTGGCCCAGCTGAACGAGCTCTGTGCGAGTGCGCTTGCTTTCGCCCTATTTGCTACTCGGCTACGTCACGGGGCACTGACGCACTAGAAAGCCGCCACTCACGCCCGGTAGTCAAGGTATGGGCGGCTGTACGTCGACAAGCAAGCTGTAAATAGGTGGCATCGATAGTTCAGCTAATTCTTTCTTGCTTTTACACGAAAACACCACACACCTTATCTCTCCATACAAAGACAGAGTATCTATAGCCTATAAAATCAGCGATGACTCCTGATATTGCGATGCGACAACACTTAACACCTTGAATATGTGCCTAAAAACTATTTCCTTGGCTTTACGTGCCAAAATGACGATATGTTTGTGAGGCATGTGATAGTGGTGCACTGCGGATTAATTATGACCGCATGCGATTCTTTAACGTGCAGCTATATATAAGCGCACTGGTTTTATTCCTCGTGTGAGATAAGCATCTTCGTCTCACGAGCTTTCACCCTGTATGGTGGCGTTATTCCATTTCACTCGCTTTGAAATGCGGCCATGGTGACCCGACATCAAACCCACGACCTCGAGCATTGCAGCGCATCATTTCAGACTACTAACAAGGTAAGGAGGTTGCGTATGTCTCTTGTGGAGTGGATCGAATTTCGTGTGGATCCAAGACATACTGCAGTGGCGACGCCAAAAAGAAATAATATGCAGGATCTGAAGTATGTGAGAATTTGTTTAATGGCGCCATCAGTCACGTTTGAGAAAACAGCTTTTGTCTGATATGATATGTCGGGTGTAACGTCCCAAAGTCATCGTAGTATAAGAGACGCCGTAGTAGAGCTAGGGATCTGGAAATTTCGACCGTCTGGAGTACTTTAATGAGCACCCAAATCTGAGTACACGGGCCAACAGCATTTTCGCCTCCATCGAAAGCACAGTTTTTTTTTTATTGAACATTTCTTCGTGCGGAGCACATGACCAAAATAACAATGTTTTATGTCAACCAACGTTTCCCTCTACGTGAACGTAGAGGCGAGCGTGCATCGCCTGATTACCCCTACTGAAACCTACGGATAACTGATGATGATGATGATATGTGGGGTTTAACGTCCCAAAACCACCATATGGTTATGAGAGACGCCGTAGTGTAGGACTCCGGAAATTTCGATCACCTGGGGTTTTTTAACGTGCACCCAAATCTGACCACACTGGCCTACAACATTTCCGCGTCCATCGGATATGCAGCCGCCGCAGCCGGGATTCGATCCCGCGACCTGCGCGTTAGCAGCCGAGTACCTTAGCCACTAGAACACCGCGATGTGGCTACGGATAACTGAGCCAAGAAAAGCACTGGTGACATCACTTGTAGTTTTTTTAACTGTGGTGTAAATGCTTCTCGCTTAAACTGGAAGGAATTAAAGTGGACGAATACTCGCCCTTTCCATCGGGTACCACGTATCCGATGTTCTGCCACGTGAACTATGTCGGAGGGTGCTCCCTCACACAACTTACAACTCGGAGCTAGTTGGTTCGGATCCCACCAACTGAAAAATCTCACCGACATTCATTTGTTACAGTCTAAATGAGAACCATAACAATACAGTTAAGACACCACAAGTTATCTTCCCAGTGATTCGCTTCGCTTAATCGTCTGTCGGTTGCATTACTTGAGTATGGTACAGAAAAATGACTCCTTCAACAAATCCCCTTCCTTCGTACCTGACTCCCGAGAGTTCGCAATAGTGTGACGCGTCAAGGTACACGACGATAAGGGTATGCATGGGACGAAACTGGAGTGGCAGCTATGTAATCACGGCGATAAGCTTACAATGATGGGTTAATGAATAATCTTCTGAGGGGGTTGAACATTCCAAAACCACCATATGATTACGAGCTGGGGTCATTTAACTTACGCCTAAATCTAAGCACACAGGCCCCACAGCATTTCCGCCTCCACCTAAAATGCGGCCGCTGTGGTCGGAATTCGATCCTGTGACGTAGCGAGTCAGCATTCGTGCACCAAAACGCTATTGCCCGCCTTGGCGGGCACGGATTAACGACGTCGCAGTTATCACTGACAGTAGCATGGCTTCAAAAAGGCAGACACTGGATGAGGTTGATACGGGGTACATGGTGATGGTTTGGTGGCAAGGAATGACCTGAAACGAATACAATGCCAACTAAGCCGACAAAATGATGCAACAATCGCTTTCTGAGGTCCCGTTTGGGCGCAGAATCGTTGTCGTTCAAGCGGCTTCATTAAATCAGTAACACGTCCAGTAGTTTCGAAACCCTGAACGCCAATGAAACCGGTGCCAAAACATTTGCGATCTTTAGACACCGTCAACTGATAAGATCTTTGCACTGCCCCACTTTTCACGACGTCAAATGATGGCGATATTTCGGTACGTGTAGATCTCCGCAGAAAACTTACTTTTTATGTAAAGCACCCATGCTTGTATTTTCACCTAATGTTTAAACTATAGTGCCTGACCTGCCATCAATAAACCTGTCGTAAGCGAAATTCTGGATTTTAACATGAAGATAGCAGGATGAATGGATGTACGTCATCTTCCTTTGTGCACGACTACGTCGAGAGTACACGTGTTCTCTCGAGTTCCAGAAGATTGCGACACTGCAGATTGTGAAAGGAGTGACAGCACAGATTGATAGTTTTAGCACACGCGCTTTTCTTTGCTGACGCTCTTTGTCTTGCCAGCGTTTTATCCGAGAGTGAGCTTATTTCGAAGTGACGTCAGCTCCCGTATGGTATAGTGGGAGCGTGGCATCTCGCGAAGCCAGCACCTACAAATTATGCTGCTCGAATAGCTACATAGAGGTTATTTTTTTTTAATAATAAATGTATTTTAGGATAGGTTTGTGCCTATACACAGCTCCGGCTACTCCTCTTCCCTTACGTAAAGATTTGCGTCCCGAACTTTTGAATAACAGTTTAGTTGTAGAATTCGTGCATGAAAATGATCTTTTGAAACGAATACTCTCACGTTATGAACAATGTACACACGTCAACAACAATGTTCACACTTTTACTTCGCTTGCCCAGCCGCGGTGGTCTAGTGGCTAAGATACTCGGCTGCTAACCCACAGGTCGCGGGTTCGAATCCCGGCTGCGGCGGCTGCATTTCTGATGGAGGCGGAAATGTTGTAGGCCCGTGTGCTCAGATTTGGGGGCACGTTAAAGAACCCCAGGTGGTCGAAATCTCCAGAGCCCTACGGCGTCTCTCATAATCATATGGTATTTTTGGGACGTTAAACCCCACATATCAATCAAAAATCACTTTTACTTTCTGGGCACCGTTGCCTGTTCTGTGAACTTTGGAAGTGAATCAAATGAAAACAGCTCGAAAATAGGCGTTCACAGTGCAGTTAAGCTTTACGTTTAATTACGTGTATTAGCTGGTCGTGTACAACACAGTTTAGTATAATCCTCTTACGACTGCACTTTCTTTGAAGGTTCTTACGACATTCTCAAATATTTGTATACCAGTAAAAGCGAGCATACAAGGCTGTAAAAGCCTGCAGAGCCGAACTTATGCTAGGCTCCAAGATCCGATGGCCTCCATACCTTTACTGACAGAATATGCTGGAGAGAAAAATGCAAGTAGTGATGCTAGTCGATGAGCTGCTGCTTTATTTTCACTTCAGGGAGCATTCCAGCTATCGACCTTTGTGCCCGAGCCGGGCGAGACGTGTGAGTAAGCGCACTTTCAGGGTATTGCGTACACGTATTTCCGAGGAAAGCTCTATCACAAACACCAGCAGTTGTATAGGTCTGAGAGTATCAAAAAAGATGTTTACTTTTTGTTTTTTTATTCTATTCATAAGCTAAGATTGCATTTACTTCACTTGTTTTCCATTGTCGTACCTACCCGTATATTGTGTAACCTTTTGGACTATTTTCTTTTCATATTAAGAATTATATCTCACTAGTAATGTTATAGATTTCCATTTATGTTTACTGTACACTGATTCTGTACTTGCTTCCATGATGTTCTACTTTGGTACGCCAACTGCTTTTCAAATCACCTTCCCTGTAATCAGCCTAGATAATACTGGTTAGAAGTCGCCCTGACACTTTTCATTATGAGACCTCCTTCTCTAATAATGATTTACTATGTCGCTTGTTATTTTTATGACGTCGAAACAAACTCCAAGAAAACACGCCAGGTCCCTTAACCTCCAAAGCATGTTTAACAGCCAGGAGGAGAAGCAACGTTCTTTTCCGCTGTGCCTTTCGCCGAGCCTCGCGAGTGCCGCTCGGCGACTCATTCACGATGTGCCACAGTGTTCAGTTCGCTGAACGGGTCACTTGTCTTTTTCGCTCCAGTAGACATAGTTCTTCTCAATGTAGTCCATCAGTTCCGGCATCTCACCAAAGTCTGAAATTGGTACAAGCGAAAATAATCATAAGTCCGTTTTCGAAGGAGGCAAAATAAGTTACCGGACAAGAAAGCTTTTCTAATAAAAAAGTACACTTATACTCAATTCATTATAGGATTTTTTTTGTTCAAGTATACGTGCATAATTTATCGCTATGAAAAGTGCGTTACCATTTTAATGAAGTTTGCGTAAGCACATAATTTATAAATGTTTTAATAAATGCTGAACTTTTGTACAGGATAAAATATGAAAATGTAGACGAACATTTTTTATTCATTTTTTTATTTACAGATACTGCAGGCCTTTCTCGGTCCCATGCAGGAGTTAAAACAAAGAAATAAATTGAGAGAAATTCGACATACAACTTGACTACATCAGTGTTGCTTGACGTAATTTTGAAACGTACAACACACATAAGGGAGGGCGTAAATATGCTTACACAATCTCGTGTAAGCATACGATACGGTATGCATACGGTAAAAGAACACAATGATAATGTCTTCCAATTTTTAAACGACACTTTAACCAAAGTTTACGTTACAAATACGCTGAAAAAACACCTCTAATGACACAGAGCTGACCGTCTCTTCAGGTAACATGTTCCAATAATAAATTGCTCAAGGAAGCAAAGAAAACTTATGCAAATTAATGTGGCTAATCAGTCGCCTAATAGTCTTACCGTGAATAGTTCTCTCTGATCGTTTGAAAGGCTCTTGGATGTAGTGTTTCCGCGACATATTGAAGTGACCGTAGTCATATTGTGGCTGTGGGTGTATAAGTGCGTGCCCTGTGCGTTTGCCACGTGTAGATCTACTAACAAGGTCCCAATTTATTGCTTTATAATATTTCGCCTCGTAATTTAAGGCTACCTGCCGTTACGGTGGATGACAGTGCTCGGCTGCTGAACTGATGGTTGTGGGTTCGATCCCAGCAGCGGCGGCTCGTGTGCTGTGTGATGACAGGGCTTGATAAACAACGCCAGATGGTCTAAACTTCCCGAAATCTTCACTGCGGCGTCCCTCAAAATTATATTGTATTTTTGAACGTAAAACCTCACTTTTTTAAATTTAAGGATAAGTTATTTCTTGCCGAAGTCGTAATCAGTATACACACGGAAAACTTCACCTTCACATTACCCACAACTTGTCCTAAAGCGTGAACAAGGGGGCTTGTTTAGTTCAGTGAGGACTCGCTTGCTGGATTCCGTGCTGACCGGTTGTGCCCTCGCGATCTCCGACGTCAGCGTAGCTCTGGCCGACTGGACTTGCCCTACGCCATCTCCTGACGCCGACAAGAGCTCTCGCAAGTGGTGCCCCGTCCTCGGACTCCTGTGACCGTGTTTCCATCTTTCCTATCTCTCCTATCCCCTCTGATGTCCTCCCTCGCTGTCCCAGCGCATTTCTAAATATATAAATATATTGTAGCATTGATATTTGGCACAGGCCGGAACGCCAGCTGAAGAAGAGAAGGAAGAGTGTTGTTGCTGCTCGCGCTCGCTCCGCTTGACAGCTGGTCGGTTCTACCGCTACGTTTTCCACAAAGTAAACGTCTCTTCTGCTCACCACTAAAGGTGTACTATCAAGTGGTGGAGAGTGCTGGGTACCTTTTTCCATCCTGGAACTCCGCAACCGAACTCTACCTTCGCCATCAACAATGTCCATCGACGCTGCACAGCAGACGGCTCCTACATCTCCACCTGTCCACTGTCCCGGCGTCCCGAGAGAGCGAGATCCAGACATCTTCAACGGCACCGATGAGCAGGACGTCGAGGACTGGCTCTCTTCGTTCGAACGAGTAAGCGTCAACAACAGGTGGGACGAAAACGACAAACTGGGCCGCGTCCACTTTTACCTCAGAGGAGTAGCAGAGCTCTGGCTCAACAACCACGAAGCCGAGCTTACCGACTGGGCCACTTTCAAGACCACCTTCGCGGACGTGTTTGGCCGACCGACAGTGCGCAAGCTCCGTGCAGAACAGCGCTTGCGGGATCGCGCCCAACTGTCGGGAGAGGGTTTCACGTCCTACATTGAGGACGTCGTAGGCCTCTGCCGTCGCTTTGATCCTGACATGTCGGAAACCGCCAAGGTAAAACACATTATGAAGGGCATCGAGGACGATGCCTTCCACATGCTGGTGGCTAAAGACCCGCAAACAGTTTCGGAAGTCATCCAACACTGCCAAAGTTTCGATGAGTTGCGAAAACAGCGCATTTCAACGCGACGGCCTACTTTCGACATGACCAGCACGCCAGCATTGACCGTTGGTGCAATATCTCCAGAACAGACTGTATTGACCCCGCAAATCCAGCAATTTATCCGAGAGGAAGTGGCACGCCAGTTGTCCCTTGCCCCCTTGCTTCCCAGCAATACGCATGGGCTGACCTCGTCACTGCGCCAAACCATCGAAGAGCAAGTCTGCGAGGCACTTCCCCCCACGTACCAGCCACCACCTGTGTCCGCTCCCCTGACTTACGCTGACGTCGCGCGAAGGCAGGTACATGCGCCGTCAAACGTCGTCGACCCTGCCCACCAAGCGAACGCCTTCTACGCAACACACGTACCGGCAGGCTCGCATGTTCCCATTTACCGCCGTCCTTCAACGCTTCCCAACAACCCTTGGCGTACATCGGATAACAGACCTATCTGTTATTACTGTCGTCAGCCTGGCCATGTTGAGCGGTTCTGTCGCCGGCGCGTCCCTCACTCAGGCATTATTGATGGCACCTACGGCTACGCCCCCACAGAACCACCACAGACGCTGCCGTTCCATGCAGCTTCGGACACTTCTCCGCCGAGCCGCCGCGCCTTCAACCCACGCCGATCGCCTTCCCCGCGCCGACGTTCGCCTTCACCAATGCTTCGGCGTGCACCACCTGCCCAAACGGAAAACTGACCATCGCAGTTCCGGAGGCAAGAACTGCGCCACCGTCGAACTCCACAAGGCCTCGTTCTCTACCGAATAATGAAATAACTGTCTTGATTGAAGGTATCCCCGTTCAAGCATTAATAGATACCGGAGCTGCCGTGTCTGTATTGAGTGAAGCATTGTGTCGCAAGTTAAGAAAAGTTACGATTCCGCTTTCTGGTCTCTCCCTTCGTACGGCAACAGCGCATCACGTGAACCCTTCTATGACGTGCACGGCTCGGTTAATCATCCAGGGCGTTCTGTACGTGGTTGAATTTATCGTGTTTCCGCACTGCTCACACGACGTCATATTAGGCTGGGACTTCCTTTCCACACATCATGCCGTTGTTGATTGTGCCCGGGCCGAACTAGAATTGTCATCGCTCTCCGACGACGATTATAATAAGCCTTCTATTTCTCGTGTTGTCGTCGCCGCGGAGACTGATATTCCACCTATGTCTTCTGTTATTGTGCCGATCTCGTGCGACCATGCCGCTTTTTCGCACGTCATGTTCACGCCGTCAGAAGACTTCACTTCTCGAAAAAACGTTCTTCTGCCTTTTGCTCTTCTGACGGTCGAAGCCACTTGCGCAAACATTTATGCCACGAATCTCCTTTCTGTACCAGTCACCCTATTCCGTGGCGAATGCATCGGCCGCCTTGAGGACATCGATTGTGTTTGCACCAGTCAACTGCCCTATCAAGCAAAAAGCCTTGAGATCGCCAGTGTTACTTCCGCTCTCACATCCGCCACCTCTTCCCTCGACGTCTTCCTTCCATCGATTGATCCTGACCTTCCTGTTGACCAACGAACTCAACTCTTGACACTTCTCGACCACTTCCGCTCATCGTTCGACTTCAAACAAACCAGTCTGGGCCGAACATCTGCAATTGTCCATCGTATTGACACTGGCACCCACGCACCATTGCGTCAGCGTCCATACCGGGTCTCCCACGCCGAACGCCAAGTTATAGACGATCAAGTGTCTGATATGCTCAATCGTGGCGTTATACAGCCGTCTAACAGTCCGTGGGCCTCCCCGGTGGTACTGGTCAAAAAGAAGGACGGGGGCATCCGATTCTGTGTGGATTACAGGCGCCTTAACAAGATCACGCGCAAAGATGTTTATCCGCTCCCCAGAATTGACGACGCTCTCGACTGTTTGCAAGGTGCAGAATTCTTTTCTTCGCTGGATCTTCGATCGGGATACTGGCAGGTACCCATGGATGAAGCTGACCGCGCCAAGACTGCGTTTGTAACTCCGGACGGCTTGTACGAGTTTAACGTGATGCCGTTCGGCCTTTGTAACGCCCCAGCCACCTTCGAGCGTCTGATGGACAACATACTTCGAGGCCTTAAATGGCAGACGTGTCTTTGCTATTTGGACGACGTCGTCGTTTTTTCAAAAGACTTCGATACCCATCTTCTGCGCCTCGCAAGTGTCCTGCATTGCCTTACACATGCTGGGCTCCAACTAAATTTGAAAAAGTGCCATTTTGCCGCCCGGAAGCTCACCATCTTAGGGCATGTTGTCAGCAAGGACGGCGTTCTACCTGATCCTGGAAAACTCCGTGCTGTCGCCCAGTTTCCGAAGCCATCGACACTTAAGGAACTCCGGAGCTTTATCGGCTTATGTTCATACTTTCGCCGATTTGTCCGTAATTTTGCATCTGTCATGGCCCCTTTAACACGGCTACTTTCTGACACCGAGGGCATTTCGGCGTGGTCTTCCAATTGCGATAAGGCATTCGCGAAACTACGTCAATTGCTGACATCTCCACCGATTCTCCGTCACTTTGATCCTGATGCCCCTACAGAAATACACACCGACGCAAGTGGAGTCGGACTTGGCGCTATTCTTGCTCAACGCAAGTCTGGATACGACGAGTACGTCGTTTCTTATGCCAGTCGCACTCTTACTAGGGCTGAACAGAATTATTCAGTCACAGAAAAAGAATGTCTAGCCATCGTCTGGGCAATCACAAAATTTCGACCCTACGTCTATGGCCGTCCATTTGACGTCGTGACTGATCACCACGCCCTCTGCTGGTTATCGTCACTAAAAGACCCATCTGGCCGTCTCGCTCGTTGGGCGTTACGCCTCCAAGACTATGATATCCGTGTCGTCTACAGGTCAGGCCGCAAACATTCAGATGCCGACGCTCTCTCCCGCTCTCCACTTCCCCATGAACACGGAAGTACTTCTGTATCCAGCCTCGATGCTGTGGCACTTTCGTACGCGGACATGCCCTATGAACAGCGCCAAGACGCTTGGATAGCCTCTATGATAGAGTTACTGTCTCAGCCGTCCCAAGTTACGCCCAATCGTTCACTGCAGCGCACAGCTCGACACTTTACCATCCGCGATGGACTCCTGTACCGTCGCAACTACCTTTCTGACGGCCGCAAGTGGTTGCTTGTGATTCCTCGCCACCTACGTGCCGACATTTGCGACTCTTTTCACGCGGATCCTCAATGCGGCCACGCCGGTGTGATAAAAACGTATGCACGTCTCCGGCTGCGGTACTATTGGCGCGGAATGTACCGCTTTGTCCGACAGTACGTGCGTTCGTGCTCCAAATGTCAACGCCGAAAAAGCCCACCACACATAGCCAATGGACAACTGCAGCCGTTGCCTTGCCCCTCCCGCCCTTTCGACCGCATCGGAATTGACTTGTACGGTCCCCTTCCCTATACGCCTAACGGGAACCGCTGGGTGATTGTCGCCATTGATCACTTGACACGCTATGCTGAAACTGCTGCGCTGCCAGAGGCCACATCACGTGAAGTTGGCTTATTTATCCTTCACAATCTCATTCTACGCCATGGCGCGCCTCGTGAGCTACTCAGTGACCGCGGCCGTACGTTCCTCTCCGAAGCGGTACAAGCCCTTCTTCGCGAATGCAACGTTGTGCATCGGACAACCAGCGCATACCATCCGCAAACGAATGGAATGACCGAACGGTTTAACCGCTCACTGGGCGACATGCTATCCATGTACGTGTCCGCTGATCACACCAACTGGGACCGCATACTGCCCTTTGTAACTTACGCTTACAACAGCGCCACTCAGTCTACGACAGGATTCTCTCCGTTCTTTCTCCTTTACGGGCGCGAACCTTCCTCATTCATGGACACCATTCTCTTGTATCATCCAGACGCTTCGGAATCCACAACTCTATCTGAAGTCGCCACCTATGCAGAAGAATGCAGGCAACTCGCGCGTTCCTTAACCGCCCAAGATCAAGCGTACCAGAAGACCCGTCACGACGAAAACCTGTCTTCGCAGTCATACTCGCCTGGCGCCTTGGTATGGCTTCGGGTTCCCTCATCTGTTCCTGGTCTTTCCACCAAGCTACTGCCGAAGTACGAAGGCCCCTACCGAGTCCTACGTCAGGCCTCACCGGTTAACTATATTGTTGAGCCGGTTCAACCATCAACAGACCGACGGCATCGAGGCCGCGAGACTGTTCACGTAGATCGATTGAAGCCGCACTACGACCCACCCGTCGTACCCGTTCCATAGGTCGCCAGGATGGCTCCTTTTCTGAGGGGGGAGTGATTTGTAGCATTGATATTTGGCACAGGCCGGAACGCCAGCTGAAGAAGAGAAGGAAGAGTGTTGTTGCTGCTCGCGCTCGCTCCGCTTGACAGCTGGTCGGTTCTACCGCTACGTTTTCCACAAAGTAAACGTCTCTTCTGCTCACCACTAAAGGTGTACTATCAATATGTACTAAAATAGAGGTGTTGTACGAGGTGTTGTGCGGGAGCCGGGGTTCTCATCAACCTGGAACTTCGCAATCGGACGCTACCCCGCACCTCCACCACTTAAAATAGAGGTGTTGTACGTCGAAAAAGGTTCAGACGCAGCTTGGCAAAATGTGCTTTATCAGGCAGGTCTGGCTAATGGCGAGCGGCGTGCGCGAGCTACTACAACAGCCACCGATCATCATCGTCTTCTTCATTGCCAGCAGAGCGTCCGTTATTCAGATTCATTAATTCATTACAATTCCTTTAATCTTATCATTTTAATCCCTCCTCACCCCATCCCTTGTGAGCTACTGTTGAGTTTAAATGAGAATCATACTCAACGGACAATGAGACTGACAATGACATAGCTGCTTCGTCAAGACGCTATGATAGCGGCTTTTTGCTCCTGTCCTAGCATTTGTTGTAAATGAATGCTGAAATAAAGAACCAGAATCAGAATCGACTGTTGAGGTGTCGCACCCTGATGCAGACTGTTACGGTGCTCACTTTTCTCTTCTTTTCCCTCATATAACCACTTCTATTTAGTTCAGTGAGGATATTCGGGATGCACGAGACGGGGTTCAATACCTATTAGCAAGGTCACCGAGATTTATGTCATGTGCCAACGTCCAATTCGACATGGAGCATCATGAACCCGTCGGAACACTTATGAGTTCACTTTACTTGTTTCTGGCGGCAAGCTGCGGAAAGGAGACAAAGGAAAGAAACCGAACGCGAAGTGTTTTAGTGCATATATCTCTTTTTCCCGGAATGAATTTAGTGCCAGAAACAATCGTTTACTAGGAGCCTGAGCGACAGCTCGGCCAACAATGAGTTATCCTGGCACTTATACAGGAGAAGTGGTGCAACAGGGCTACACCATGCAGTTTTCAACCGGGCAGCTCACCTGACCAGGCCCGGAACATCTCACGCACGAAGTAGTTTACAAAGCCGATCTGCGAACTGGCAATTTTGCAGGTGAGCCGGTCGAAGGCGGGCATCACGACGGGCAAGCCTCGCCGCTTTTCCTCATCTGTCTGCGCATGCGCAAGAACAGCATGCTTCACGTGAGTTTGTCTATCACACATACATCATCATCATCATCATCATCATCATCATCATCAGCAGCAGCAGCAGCCTGACTACGTCTACTGCAGGACAAAGGCCTCTCCCGTGCTCCACCAATTAACTCGGTCCTGTGCTTGCTGCTGCCAATTTATACCCGCAAACTTCTTAATCTCATCTGCCCACCTAACCTTCTGTCTCCCCCTAACCCTCTTGCTTTCTGTGGGAATCCAGTTAGTTACTCTTAATGACCAGCGATTGTCCTGTCTATGCACTGCATGCCCGGCCCATGTCCATTTCCTGTTTCTTTAATTTCAACTATTATATCCTTTATCCCCGTTTGTTCCCTGATCCACCCTGCTCTTTGCATGTGGGAGGTAGTGGCCAGATACTGCACCAGGGTGGCCAATCCTTCTCTGGTGCACACATATATGCAATCGTTAATTTGGTTTCTAACTGCACGACTCGGGCATAATAGTCCCGTGGATATTTGGATGTTATCAAGATCGCTCGTACATACCTGGGCACAGTATTCTTCGGCTATTCGTTGCGCCCACTGGATACACAGGTGGATGGGCCGAGCCGGGTTGGACACGTCCGCACACTTGATGAGCATTCGTTTGATGAGGATGATGTTCTCGGAAGAGCGCAGCATGTTATCATCTTCTTCCTCCTGAGTGCATAGTAAATCGAGGCAGGTAAGGAGCTCATGAGAAACACACTGGTAGAGAGAGAGAGAAAGAGAGAGACTCTTTATTAGGAAAAACGTTTATTTTTCCCGGTGTCTATATATCACTGGCATGCTACTCTGTATGGGGATAGGGAAGGCGACAGAAAGATTTCAACAGAGAAAGAGAAGAACGATATGAAAAAGAAGTTGTGATCTAGCGAACCTGATAAAACTATTTACATTAGGGTATCAGGTAAATCAAGGCTTGGCTGTGCGAGATGTCGAATTATTAGAGCCTTCCGGCAGGGCCAATATCGGATAAGTAATTGATGACAGTATGACACGACGATGTTTAGAAGGTCCAAGCACAGGGCCTAATATGTTGCACAACGTTCATTGTTCGTTGCAGACCATGTCCATTTATTGTTCGAACAGCTGCCGAGCCGGGGTTACCTGCACGTCCAGTGCCCCTTCTCCTTGCACTGGCTTCTGGAAGACGTTGATGAACTTTGAGAGGTGCTCGAAGTGCTTGGTCATCTCAGTGGCCAGTACCATGTCGATGATGGACGCTCGCACCGCGCGGTATGTGTCCCGGTCCAGCTTCAGGAATATGTTCGCCTTCTCGTCCGACAGTGTCTGCTTGAACGCGAACGCTGCGTGGTGACTCTCGAGTACAGAGCTGCGGGCAAACAGTTTCATAAAGACGCATTTTTATTATTGGAAAATTATTTGTAGAGCTATTAAACAGAGGGAAACGAACACGAGCACAGTGGGTCTACAAGCTGTGAGAGGGGCAATAAAAACTAAGGCCGCAGCTTCGTGGCGTCAAGCCTGGAGTAAGTGCAGGGCTGGGCATTTTTCTTTGAGTCTCTTCGGTTTTTTTTTCTTGCATCCCCTTTCTTTCTCCCATTTTCAGTTTTTTCTATTTCAATTTTTCTTCATACTTTTTTTCATTTTCTTTCTTTTTTATGCTCACTCGCTTCCTCAATTTTCTGGCTATTTTTATAGGTGGTTTCGGCCACGTTACACCAAGCGGTCATGGCATACGACAACACGAGCCTCTAAAATACTCCTCCACACTTCAAAAATGTCCTTGTTTTTAAAGGGCTTACAAACAAGGAACTACTGTGCATCGTAGTGCCCATGCATTACATAAGGAACTTCGAATAGGTGTTAGTGCACAATCACACGCAGTCCACAGGTTCGTTAAGCTAGCGTGCGATTTCATTGCGACTATGGATCAATACCACCTCGTCTGCTGTTTCATATTACCAAATTTATTACCTTCAACGTTACTCACGAATTCATATGTGGCGAAATTTAAATGATTTTTAAGCTGAGCAAACGTAAACGGCTACCTGCAGCCATTTTCTATTGTAGTACTTGCGTGTGCATACACAATGAAAGTCCCTACGCCTTCTTTTCTGAAACTATAAATTTAATGTAGTATATAGGGTACTACAGCAAAAATTATTTTCTCCAATCTAGACAACTATTGCCATCTTTGTAACACACGATAAAACTTTTTTTTTCCTTTTCTATAAACAGGAACTGTTTATGTACATAACAAGCGTGGTGGAAACGAGGACAAGAAATAAAACTAGGTCGCACTGTTGTTTCGCTCAGCCTTATGGGCCGAGAGATAGGCTGATGGTGATTGATATGTGGGGTTTAACGTCCCAAAACCATCATATGATTATGAGAGACGTCGTAGTGAAGGGCTCCGGAAACTTCGACCCCCTGGGGTTCTTTAACGTGCGCCCGAATCTGAGCACACGGGCCTACAACATTTCCGCCTCCATCGGAAATGCAGCAGCGGCAGCCGGGATTCGAACCCGCGCCCTGCGGGTCAGCAGCCGAGTACTTTAGCCACTAAACCACCGCGGCGGGGCAGAGGCTGATGGTGACGTTTCCGCATAGGCAAGTAAGGAACTTTCATTTGCTGCTGCGGTATTGGTGGGCTCCGTTATCACGTGGCGTTGCAACACACATGCGAACGAATTCTCAATGATGGTGAAAAAAAAAACGATGTTCACTGATGCTAGCAGCATCATTCCAAAGCACAAGTACCAAACACATCCTCATACGGAGTAGCTGCCCCTTCTGCTCATGTTAATTCACTGTCGGCAAAAAAAAAATGTTAACTGTGCTCAGATACCACCGCTTTCTTTATATCGAGTAGCATGACCTCACAGTAGCTCGAGTAATTAGAATAAAGTACGTATGCGCACCGGTCATTGTAGAGTATTGCCAGTTCATTGTCGGAGTTGGTAAGGAACTGGCTCGACCTTCCGGGGTGGTCGATATCGTGAACCACCGCTGATATGAGGCAGATAGCCTCGTCCAGTGGGTCGAAGATGTCCTGCACATAGCAAGAGCGCACGTTTCATTCGCTTGTAGTCGGCTTTCAAGAGTGCAGTGATAAAACTAGTACGTTTCTCACTTCGAATCACTTTACCTGAAATGGTTTTTCTGGTGAACAAACGAGCACATTCCTGCGTTTCGCGTGGTTCAAGTTCGAGGGGAAGTATCACAACGTGATATCAATGTACACGTTGCGACGGGATTGCGTGTATAAATCTTATTTTTTTTAATAGATGCATAATTTTGTCAGGACTGCTCGCAGTACATACAGGTAAAACGCGTCTACAGTATACGTCCACGTAGTTAGCATTCACATTCGAGGCAAGTATTTTGTGCAGTTCTCTAAGACGTGGTTTCTCAAAGTGGGTTCCGCGGAACTTCACGCAGGCCCCTGCTCGGAGTTCCACGAGCCGCTGATAACTTTTACTTGGTTCCGCACTCGCTAAGTCACTAAGATGGCGAGCCCGAGGTGCTATCGACCTAAGGAATATATTACTCACTCCCGAGCGTCCATAAGTCCACCTCTGTGTATAACAAAAACGCGCGAGCTGCGCAATAAATCCCGCCAGCAGCTTGTAGCTAGCGAGACTCCGATAACGGACCGCGCGGTTTAGTGATCGCACTTTGAATCTTGAATGTCTTATACAAAAGTTTATTCCAGTAACGTTGGTCTCATGCCCATTTTTTCCCCCTTTGCATATAGGTACCGAAGGTAAGGCAGTAAACATTTGCTGGTGAGTAAGCATTCTCAACACTATATGAAAAATCAGGAATCAGCTAAATCCAGCAGCCGACATGCAGCTGGCCGTGAGTGTTACTGAGTCTCCCGTCAATTTGTTTGAGGTAGGAAATTGGGTTCAGTTGCGCGTCTGTCAATAAATTTTATATAACATTTATTTTGAACTTATTGCACGTGAGTGTAACGTGCAGCTAATAAAAAGGTTATTGCATGAAAGTGGAGGGGGGGGGGGGAGAAATTGACGCCGACTGTTAATTATCGCGTTTTGAGGCGTCTTAGGCCTGTTTCACATGCGAGCGAACGAGCGACGGCGGTCGCGGCGAAGAGCGGCGGGAGGACGCGTGGACGCGCGTTCGTTTCACATGCGCCGCTGCTACCGCTGCTGTTAGACCCGCCGCTCTAGCGGGCAGTGTTGTCCGCGGAAGGCGCTGCTCCACGGCTGTTTTCAGTAGTATCTGAAAGCCGTGCTCTCCTCCAAGTGTCCTTCATTTGGCGCCCTTGTGCTATGAGGTTCATCAATAGCCGCTCGACTTTTACGCGTCTGTACACTGATTGAACTAGTTTTAACATGTATCTTACAACAAATAAGCAACGTTTGCAGTTGCTTCTGTTTTGTCCTGGCTTTTTCACGTATGATTCTTGCTGCGCGCTCATATAACTGATATAACTGACCATGGAGAAGCAAAAAAAAAGAGTTAGCTTGTATGGTTTTATTATACAACTCAGCTGCGAGCGCGTTTTGCGCAGCACTTCCCCTGTTTCTCCGATTCATTGCTTTTGCTTTCAGTGATTTAACATTGGGACACTGAACGAGGTTTCAGTCAGCCCAGTATACACAACTCGCAAAGCTTATACCTAAATTTTTGTACCTGTTCGCTCGAGTCAAAATAACAGTTTTTATAAAAACTCTAAGTAGTAAGCTTCGGCAGTGTTTGTGGTCACCCTTTGGCTCATGCGAACACATCCTTCATTGGGGTTTTCTGAATGGTCTACATCTCTTCTGGCGCTCAAATTCGTATGCTTCCACCCTAAAGAATAAGCCTCTTAGATTTTTCAATAATTCAGTAAAGCACTCCAGGATGAAGAGTTTCATCAACGGCAGGTAGCATAATATACGTGATACGGTCATTGTCCCGGTTCTTTGGCTGCTGTATATACACTTGTGCGCGGAGCAGGTAAGGGACTACGCAGCAATTCTTGCTTTAGCTTGCATTTGCGTCCATAAATGCTGCGGTGGTGAACAGGAAAGCCGAAGTATCACATCATTTCACACAACACACCTCTGCCGTCAGCACATAGTGACATTCAATTGGTAGCATTCGACCGTGTAATTTAGATGCATGTTTCTAGGCATGTGTTGCTGCCCTGGTGCCTGAAATCAACAGCTGTTCTTCGTTATCTACGCAGTGTATGTTGTGCTCGCGACCGAACATCTATATTCGCCTAGCCAGCCGCCCATTCCTGCACTGAATGTCACTGAGAGCAGCTGGCCAGTGTGGCAGGACCTGTCGACAGCCTGCAAACTTGAGCGCTCTGCGGTGCAATTGCTCATTGCGAGAAAAGCGTCGCAGAGGACGTGGACAAGTCAGCCAGGGTTTTAGTGAGAAATCGAGGTGTTGTTGAATGGGAGAACAAAAATAAAGGCCCCTGATGAGTGACTTTTTTTTCCCCGAACCATGACAGGAAGCTTCGCGCCCCTTCTTTGTTGAGTCACATCGCGAAATTCCTTTTCAGTGACCTGTGTGGAATGCTACTTCTCAAGTGCACTACCGTAGAAGCCGTCCTTGCTCTCTCGTTCGTGTGAAGCCTTTTATCTATGCACCGTGACACCAAATGTCATCATTTGTTAATCCCGCAACAATTGCTGTGACATAGAAGTACGGGGTGCCATGCGGCTACGTGGGAATAACTTTCGATGAAAACGCAAAAACAGAAAAAAGAAAGTAGTAATAATGTTATTGAAATAAAAAAAGGCACCGCACGCGATTGTCGCTACGGCGAAAGCATCGTCGAGAGCAACGAAAGGAACACAGCTGCACTTCGACTTCACCAGTGAACATGGCCAGTTCAAGCCGCGACGTTTACTTTATGGAAGTATGCGACTTCGGCAATTTCTTCCCAAAGAATGCTCTTCCTATGGTTCTTGCGGAAATCCTCCGTCTTGACGTCCCAAAGAAGAGATCGTTTCACAACTTCTATCAGCGACATGTTGAAAGTAGTGCGAAACATTTGTGAGCCGGGGAGAGGATGGATGTCGTCTGCTACTCAGTCGTAGCGAGTTGTTCTGTGGAACCAGTTCCTCGCAGCGCGCGTGTCAACTTCTCGACTCCAGCCCCGTCATCACGTGTCAAACGACGTCACTGGTCGCTCTGCCGCTTGTGCCGCTAGCGAATTTTTCCAACTCTGGCGAATTTCACAAGGGCGTCTAGTCGCCGCGGTAAAAACCTGTTTTGGCCTCGCGCGGTGGCTGCCGCTCCGCTCTAGGAGCAAAATCGCTCGCATGTGAAACAGGCTTTACACTCCTCGAGCGTGCAGCGGAGGCGAACGAGCGCATCAAGTCACGTCACACGTGAGCCATGAGCGCCATCTGGCGTTTTTGTTTTGTTTTTTAGAAAAAGTAGCCCGTGGCCCTCAGACGGGTGTGCACGCCCGTCTCAGAGGTGATAAGGTGTAGAACGCAAGGCGACGGGTAGGTGCCACCACCGTGTCGTCTTAGCGAAGCGTTGGAAATACTCGCTTCTTCGTGCAAGCGTTGCATGGTCAGCGCAGCTTGATAAGCACTACGATCCTTATAATTACTTATGTATGCCTTTTCTAGGAAAAGCTGAACATGCAGAATATATACGTGTTGTTATGGTGCCTCAGATATGCGCAACAATTGTTTTTATATGATAATCGCAAATGTATGAACGCTGATCTTTGAGCAACATTGGTGGGCGCTACGGATGGGGTCGGCCGTTCGGGGTATCGCCTGGTGCTGTTTCGAGTAACCGGTTCGTGGTAATTGTGGACAAACAGACAAATGTACAGACAGACAAATCAAAGTTTTTGCGTCGAAGGTCCCTTAAGAAAGTAAAAACGAGCGCGTTGTTTTCTCCTGACGTTTCTCGCCTTTCTGCAAGGCACTTCATCACGCTTAAACAGTAATTTCCGAGGCGTCTGTAGAGTACATATACTCTCAATCGGAAAGCGAAATATCAGGTGTGAATTGTCTCCTACGATGCTTTGCCGCCCACCTGTTCTTTATTTTTTGGCATGACTGCCTTCTGCAGCCAGCTGATTTCAATTCACCTTGTGCGTTTCCGACCGTGCAAGTGGCGATAGGGTGTGGCGGACAAGCGCGAAGTCTTGATAGGCCCCACGATTACTGCTGCCATTGTACACGTGCTTCCAGGAGATAGTAGGAAGGATAGCGAAGGCGAGGGGGGAACCACTCCCTCGGCGTAGAAATAACAAAACAACTGTGACAACACCGTAAGATGACGCACCTTTTTCCTCAGTTTAAGCAGAAAGTAGGCGGTGGCCTGCATCACGTCGCCAGCGTGCGTCGAGTTGTGGTACGGATTGTCCAGGTAGTGACTCTCCACCAGTTGCAGCCAGTTGCGTATGGTGGCATCGTCCGTCTCCAAACTCAAGCGCACGTTCAACTTTGAGAACACCGACATACCCAGCCAGATGAGCGGTCTGCAAGAGACGCCGCTGCATTTCTGCTCACCGAAAGTCGTGATTCCAATCCCAAAAGCTAATTGAAGTCGGCCCGCTTCCAGCGCGTTTGGGGAAACAAAAAAGCGACGTCACAGGATTCACGCTAGTGTTTCACTATGAGTAATTTGTGAATCCACAGTTAACACTACGTCAGAGATATATTCAATAATTCGACATGTGATACGCCATTTTGTCAAAGACACAGCACGCAGCGGCTTCGTTAAAATAGTCAGATTCCTTGATCTACGTTTACATCATATCGACCTAATTTTCGATGAGTAAGCTTCACAAAGAATTCTGTATTATTTTATATGAACTCATCTGGGACTACCTAAATTGTAATCAAATAAATCATAATTTCACGATCGCCTTCGGGCTTGTCTCTTCCTGCGTGGTTAGATCGGTGGTGGCCAGTTCGGTTCTTATTCTCTTTGTTGGTGAACCACATCCTGTGATAGTGATTCATAAACTTCACTAAAAGAAACCTGAACTCTTGCTACCAGACGCGCTTTGTCACCAGCAGAATAACTGTGTCACTCATTCAATAAAGTACGCGTTGTGCTTTATCTGATCGTACGCACCGCCGTGCAGTGAGAGCTTCCAACTCGATAATATCGAACTCCCACTTGACGTCGTTCTCCAACAACTCGGCGATCTTGCACGGCGCCGAGGACAGGCACGGAACCGCGCCATTGGACGTTGTGCTGGCGCTGCTCACTGCGTGTACATTTCAAACCCATATCAATAAACTTTACATGGATCGATCGTTCTACGCGGGCTGCGGCAGATGCAGTCCGCGGCACCAACCTCTCCTCTGCGTCACCTCGTGGGACAACCGCCGCACGCCCATGGGTCTCTGTGGCGATCCGATCTGGAAGCGAAACGCGAAAATGTCTTTCGTAAGTGCGTTATCTCATTGGTCATCAGGATTCACTAATGATATATGTCCCGCACCATGACTGGCTGAACTATTTAACGAAAAATTTTAGGGCAAGATGTTTTTTTTTTATTTTTTAGAATAAAGGCCCAGGTGTTCCTACGTCAAAACTATAGGTGTTTCTGCTGTAATTGTTCTTCTCTGCGAACTGTTGTCACCGAAAATTCCAAAATATAAGTTACTAACGCAGGCCTGTCGAAGGACCCTCGTTTCGTCATACGACCTCCTCCTTTCTTCCATGAGCGTTCTTAGCCTGAGTGCATGTGCTTTGGCATAGCTACATATAAAATAGTCGACAACGCTCTTTCTTTCTTTCTTACTGAATAGCAGGCACAGTAGTCATATTGAAAGCGTTAAATAAAGTTTATTCTTATTGATAGCCGTATTCTGTACTCTAAGAAGATGCAGCACACAGCGGCCCGATAAGCAATGGGTCGATGTTAAGAAAGCACACAGCGTATCGACCCTGATGTGCAAGTGCGTAGTTTTTATTATTTGCAAACGACTTATAGACACTAATGTAAAGCAGCGAATCGCTTTAGATTCTGATAAGTCTACTGCTCTTAATTTTACTGTCATAGGTCTATTAATAAATGAAGAAATCAAGCTGGAACTTCATTTCTGAATTTCATGCCGAAATCTCCTGCCGTGATATGATCCCTTTCAAGATCTATATATATATATATATATATATATATATATATATATATATATATATATATATATATATATATATATATATATATATATATATATAAGGGAAAGAAGTGTATACCTAAGGGCTCGTTTTTCCGTGTTTTAACACAATATTAATGAGATCTGCAGTAATGCCAAGGAATATATATATATGAAGTATTTGCGCCTCATTCCCTGAAGCTGGGCTTGTTAAGTATATATGGCCCCATCAAAGGTATAATGTACTTCATTTCTACTGGTTAGGACGTCACGGCGCTTGGCGCAGTAACTTCAAGGAAGCGTCGCCACCATGATTGTCTTCTTGCGCCTTTTGTCGCTTGTAAAGCGTCTCCTCGCAGCCACCGCGGATGTTTTAGAATGGCGGAAGTTTGATTTACTAACACGAGTATTTTTATTTTTTTTTTTTTTTACATGGGAAAGCATGTTATGCTCGGGGCATCCTGTGTTCTGCGGCATTCGCACTTATACTGCGCATGCGATAACTCTCTCCCGCTCCTCGCGTGAGCGCTGCCTTCACTTCGTTTCTCCTCTCCCAATTCTCTCTCTCCACCGCAAATGTGCGCCCGTAAATAAAGCGGCGCGCGCTCGCTCGCATTGCACCCCTTCGCAACGGCGCTATGGACGCGCGCGAAGCTGAACGCTAACGGCAACGCCGGCAAGCGAATCTCGAGGCTGCAGAAGCTCGTGTTCGCTGTGCTTCCGTCATTCTCTATGCATCTTTTCACAGGAAGGAAAAAAAACACCGCCATAATGGGCTGTGCGCGGGAGTACAAAGGCTAAGGGCGCAGCGTTGCCAGTGCATTTTCGAGGGGACGCGCCAATTTGCACAGCCCAAGGAGGGCTATGGCGGCGCCCAGGGACGGCGTTTATGAAAAGGTGAATATATGCAACGGTGTGCGCAACGCCAGTGAACTACGTCAACATTCGCTCTAGTTACAGCGCCACCGCCGCGTAGGTAGAGGGATGCTCGGGAAGCCGAACGTGAACGGCAGCGTCGGCAAGCAGTAATTCGAACGGCTCGACAACCACCACCTCATAAGTTACGTAAGAAATCGGGAACTCGATGCGCACCACCCGCGATGCTTTCGCATCTCACCATGGTTATCCAGGAGATTATGTGTAAATTTTTAGCGTTCATTTAACCATGCACCGTCCTGACCGAAAGAAGACGACCCGTCATGTTGATCTACGGGTTAAAGTGCTAGACAGCTGGCTGACGCGCAGCATGGAATCCCGTTGGTGGCTGCCACATTTTCGATTGAGGGAAATGCTCGAGACATGTGTGCTTAAACGAAGGTGCACGTTAAAAAAACAAAAAGAACAGCTGCTTGAAGCTTCTGGGGTCCTCAACTACGGCGTCTCTAATATTCACAGCATGGTTCTGTGCGGTTGAAGGCCTACTCCGGCTATTTTTCAACCATGTCAGGGTAATAATGGTGTTTATATGTTCCTGAGGCACTTTAGCTCGACAGCAGAAATGCCCAGTGACCAATTCGAAAATAATCTTTAATTGGCAAAAAGGTGCAATATCGAAACCCAGCTGAGCACGCCGCCTACGCATGATGTACTATTTGGTAAGAACGAAGTCGTATGTTTGTCCCGCCGACAACACCGCGAAGGAATGAAGCTTTTCTGTGCTAAACACCGCCGCCGTCCCCTTGTGGCCAGCGCAGTAAGTGCTGTAGCGGCCAAAGTTAGCGATGCCATCGGCTGCATCACTTCCGCTTCACATGCCAAACATGACGTCACAGATACAGTGTTGCCGATAATTCTCGCAAGCCAGGTGAGCGTTTCGAGGCAATCTTTTATAATGCATTTGCAAACAATCAGCGCATCTGTCAAGCATTTGATTTGGCATAAATGACGGGAATGCGCAAAGGAACGTACCCAGAGAATTTCATTTAGATCCATTGACCTCGAAAAATCGCCAGAGTTTGCCTTTAAACCCAACACGGAACTAACACGACCTAGGCAAAAAGAATATTAACTGACGTTCGTGACTGTTGTGGGCACGTCGGAGGCTGTTTGGTCCTCGGTCTTCGTCTGGATGGCGCCAAGGTTTGGGTTGTACAGCTCGCTGGTGCGGAGGATGTCGATGACGCGATCCAGTTGCTGCACCACGGCTGGTGCTGTGGAGCTCTCTTTAACCTTCAACAGCATGTTAAGAACCTGGGTGCGGCAAAAAGAAAACGCTTTTTTAAGGATTCTCTTTTTCTTCACCCCCATCCGCAGCTCTATAATTCTAAACTGGCGTCGCTATATTGTAAAACCATTCCAATCGCTGTCAACTTTAAAGGGGTCCTGAAACTCTGTTTTGAGTAACCATGAAATAATTCACTGGAAAAGCGTATTATCTCACAAATTGATTGCCGCAAAAATCTGAAAAATCCGTCCAGCACGAGCGGAGTTACAAAGATTTGTCACACGCTGCGATCACATTCTCTCTTCTCTCGTCCCAACAAAAGCGCTGGAAGCTCAGCAGGGAGGGATGGGAGGGGCAAAAAAAAAAAAAAAAAACTTCACACACGCTTCATGACCTTGGGCATTATTTTTTCATTTTTTTTCTTCGAATACGCGGATTATTCAGTGCGATCGCGCGCGCACGCCGCACACATGGATGGGTGATGACCTCTCGCGGCGACCTCTAACAAACAAGCGCGCCTTGTTCAAATCAGCCAATGGCTGATAGATGGGCTTACTGTGCTTATTTTCCGTGATTTGTTGAGAGAAGAAAAAACTATTTTAGTTGACTTTAACCATTTATTATGAATTCCAGGCTGCGTGCGGTGCTATTAATATTTGGCTCGCGTGTTGTCGAGAGCCTCTACTACCGATCGGCAGTGTTTTCTGACCATGCTCAAAAAGTGTTGCAGGGCGCCTTTAAGCTCGCGTATTTTCCCTCATGATTGGTCGAAACCTGTCTGGCCAACGTCCACTGCCGGTCACGCAATGTAACAAAATATGCTAAAACCCATTCTCACGATATAACAGGTAAAGAGCAACAATATGAAGTTAGGTCGAATGAAACAAAAAAGCTATTGCCGAATTTCCTCCTTTGATATTAGTGAAAAAATTTTCGGGTCATGCCAATATCGACTGTTGTCTGGCGTCACAAGACTATGAAAACTCGAGAGGTCACAGAGTGCGCTCTAAACGGGGCAATAACATTCCAGAATGTAGTGTAGCATTAAAATTTATGAGTGCTTCAGTACTTCTGTGCCGACTCACGAGAAACCTTTTCACCGACTGTTGTTCTGTCACGCAAGATGACCATCGCCATGCAGAAATAAAAGTATCAAGCAAATCAATTTTCGTGTCGGTGTTGGTCGGAGTGTTGAGGCCTAGATGTCAAGTCAAGTCTTATCCGCTGAGCCATAGATTTACGTACAGTGGAATAATATCAGGGTCAGTGCCGGAATAGAAACCGGGTATTTCACGTGGAGGTCAAGTCATCACAGGGTCATGCCACTGTTTGAGTCTGCTTGGAAAAAAAAATACCATGGGTCTCAAACAAACGGTGACCATGTATGGAAACTGTGGTGTTGCTATCACTCCTGTAAAGTTGGTTTCTACATCTGGTGCCAGCACGCCCATGGCCTCTGAGATTGCAGGTGCTCGCAATCTCGGAGGCCATGTTACGTCGTAGTTAGCTCACCACGCAACTAAATGAAGCGAAACAACAAATTCAAACTCTCATAGCCCTTACAGCTCCCCCTCACCCTCTGTAGATGTTAGCAAACATAAACGCAGAGCCCTAGCACTCTGCGAAACGGACATTAGTGAAAATGACTCACCAGAAGACACTCTAAACGAAATCTTACGTCTCACGCGAGAAAACCACGATAATATCGACACCCTGTCACGCCGGGTAGCACTAGAGCAAAAAAGCTACCATAAAAGCTAAAACCGAACCCAGACAAATACTTTCTATGCATCCAACGGCACAGCTGCCTGGGCCAACTAATCCAATGTAATCATCATGGCTTCCACAAAACCCAAAACACGTTAGAAATTTGGCAGTGGAATTGCGCTAGCTTTGCGAACCACAAAACCTCACTGCTGCAGTGCATCAAAGCGCAACCCAAGAATCCTCACGTAATATTACTACAGGACTTTTTGGGAGACGCTCACACTATCGGGTTACCACCACATCTCACAACGAAGGGAGACCATGAGAGGTACAGCTACACCCATCAGTAAGAAATTCGCTCACATTGCTCATGAAGTGTTACCCACCCGCAGCCACCTAGAAGCGATACTAATTGAACTTGTACCAAACCGTTTTCGAAAACAAAGCGTTTTTAATCTTAACGTTTACAGCTCCCCTTCAGACTATAGACAGTCTTTCCATGCTCGCTTAGCTAAAGCCACAACCCTCGCGCGAAACTCTCCGCTTGTTATAGCAGGTGACTTCAATGTCCCACACTCGTCATGGGGTTACCCCCAGGCAACGGCGAAAGGCACTAACCTCACGCAAGCAATAGACGGCCTGTCCCTCCCACTCATAACAGATCACCGATTCCCTACAAGACTTGGCACATCGGTACAACGCGACACTACGCCGGACTTGGTATTTATCCGTAACGTCACAGGCCACACCTGGACCAATACGCAAGAGAACCTGGGCAGCGATCACTTCATCATACGTACCGAACTACCCAACTAATCATCCTCACCACGTGCATTCAGACTAATGGACTGGGATGCCTTCCCACCCTCCGCAAAAACAACACAAAGAAATACAACACACTCACTGAACTACTCTCCTCAATTCACGAAGACATAGCCAAAACAACGGAAACCATACAAACCGAACTAGAGGTCCCCAGAATCAACGCACACCTCGCCCATCTGCTCGAGGCAAAAGCGCCAATACTCGCGCGCTGGAAAACACAACGACTAAACAGACGCTTACGAAAACGCGTATCAGTACTAAACCAAAACATCCCAAAATATTGCACCGAGCTCATGAAGTCTGCTCGGCGTTCGACGGCCGCATGAGAACTGGGGGTAAATGGAACCTCCTAAAATATGTGCTTGACGACCGCCAATCAGAAAACAACAAGAGACATGCCACAGTCCGTCTCCTACACTCGCACAAAAAGACGGGAAGAACGGAATGATCCTTTCTTGAAGAAATCGCCAAACGACACCTCCCCCTAAAGACTGCACAAACCACCGACTACCCACAAATAGAATGCGAAACAATACCCGAACTCGACGACCCCTTCACGGAGTCTGAAGTTCGGGAGGCATTACACAACCTGAACAGTCGATCAGCCCCCGTTCCTGACAAGGTAACCAACCGCCTGTTGCGGAATTCCGATGACCAAACCATCACACTACTCACAAAAGACATTAACCACATATGGGAAACCGGACAGGTACCTAAACAATGGCGCACGGCCATGGTAATCCTTCTCTCAAAACCAGCTAAACCACTAAACTTCGACAATTTACGCCCTATTTCCCTAACCTCATGTATAGGAAAAGCAGATGAACATGCCATTATGAATCGTGTATCGCGTTACATAGAGGATCAGGAACTCTTTCCCTTCAACATGGTGGCGTTATCAACACAAGACTTATCAACACAAGACATCATGCTATTACTAAAGAAACAGATCTTCGATTCAAAAACGAGAGATATCCGTGGCATCCTCGCCCTAGACCTCACTAAAGCATTCGACACCGTCTCCCATCACTTTATACTGGAATCCATTGTCAGCCTCGGTCTCGGTAAAAGATTTCAGTCATACATTCGTTCTTTCCTACAAGACCGAAAGGCCAAGATTCGAATATCACAACTTACATCCGACACTTATACATTAGGTTCCAACGGGACACCACAAGGGGCAGTCATTTCTCCACTCCTTTTTAACATAGTTATGAAGGGACTGTCTGACAAACTCCGCGACATCTTTAGCAAAAGTCATGCTATATACGCAGATGACATCAACATCTGGTGCCCGGGAGGCTCCTTGGCGGAGTTAGAGCAGGCCCTTCAAACCACTCTCGATACCACAGAGGCCTACCTCAAGAACACTGGACGGCGTCTGTCGCCCACGAAATCAGAGTTGCTACTATAGCAGCTATCTCGTCAAGGCGTTCTTAATTTGACGCCCCTTATATGAACATACCCATAGCGCTACACGCCAAAGACGGGCAACGAATACCCCGCGTGGACTCCATACGGATTCTCGGCCTCCTGATTGAGGCCACTGGCTGTCATGCACGAACAACAACACCCATCACAGCAAAAACAGAAAACATGCTCCGACTGATTCAGCGAGTCTCGGGTCGCAGACGAGGACTTAGAGAGGCCAACCTTCTGCGCATATAACACGCGTTCCCGATGAGCCACATCAATTACGTCGCCGCTGCCCACAACTGGACGAAAGTGGAAAAAATAAAACTAAACACGCTCATGCGCAAAAGCATCAAACAAGTGCTTGGTTTACCTCAAAACACGAGTACTTCCCGTCTCGACAAACGAGGCATGCACAACAACATCGATGAAGTGATCGAGGACCAGACCACGACCCAAGTGATTCACCTCTCCTCCACGGCAGGCCGCCAACTTCTAAGCGAGGCTGGCATGTTCCCACATCCCTACCTTGAACGCGCAGTAACTCTTCCCAGAGCTGTTCGTGCTACCTACACGGTAAACCCATTTCCGCAGAATGTTCACCCGCAACACAACAAAGCAGACGCCTTGGCCCGCGCTCGTGCGATCCTCAACCGTGCCGCTGCGAATCGTAACTCTACCGCTTTCGTCGATGCGTGCAATACAATAACTCCTCCACCTTCGCATGGCCGGTAGCAGATGGCGACGGAGCCCTACGCTCAGCCGCCTCGGTTAGGCTAGCAACGAGCGCCACAGCCGGGCAGGTTGCTATAGTTTTAACGATGGTCGACCCCTCGCACACCCATGTCTTCAACGACTCTCGCGCCGCCATTTGGGCTTACAAAAGCGTCAACAACGCTCGAAAAGCAGCCCACATTCTACAAACATGCAAATGCATGGGCTTGCGCTACCTCTCTTGGTTTCCCTGGCCACATGGGCAAAGAGGTCCACCCACAGTAACCCAACCTCAACGAAAATGGCCCATGATCGAGCGCGAGAACTGACCCGCCTGCGACGATCAATCAGCCACCGAAGAGTTGGG